GGTAGTCTGTGCTACAAATCAATTGAACTTGAATGGACCTGAATCTAACTAAGTTTAAATTGGGCAGTCTGTGCAACAAATTAATTGAACTTGAATGGACCTGAAACTTACTAAATTCAAAGTGGGTTGTCTGTGCTACAAATCAATTGAACTTGAATGGACCTGAAACTTACCAAGTTTAAATTGGGCAGTCTGTGCAACAAATTAATTGAACTTGAATGGACCTGAAACTTACCAAGTTCAAATTGGGTAGTCTGTGCTACAAATCAATTGAACTTGAATGGACAAGAAACTTACCAAGTTCAAATTGGGTAGTCTGTGCTACAAATCAATTGAACTTGAATGGACATGAAACTTACCAAGTTCAAATTGGGTAGTCTGTGTTACAAATCAATTGAACTTGAATGGACCTGAAACTAACTAAGTTCAAATTGGGTAGTCTGTGCTACAAATCAATTGAACTTGAATGGACATGAAACTTACCAAGTTCAAATTGTGTAGTCTGTGCTACAAATCAATTGAACTTGAATGGACATGAAACTTACCAAGTTCAAATTGGGTAGTCTGTGCTACAAATCAATTGAACTTGAATGGACCTGAAACTAACTAAGTTCAAATTGGGCAGTCATGTGCTGGTAATGTGAAAAGCCCTCGTATTATATGTGTATGAAACGATGATTATTTGAAAATAGATTGAAATTGATAAACACAATTCATTCTCGCTAACTAGAGTGTGTTGTTTTTCTACTCGCTTGAAAATGTATGTAGAACGGATTAGTATGTTGCCGCGAGAGGGCGTGATCAATGACGATAACACAATTTTCAAGTTGTTGACTAAATGTTTTATTATGTTGAGCCATTTCTACGGGGTATTTTAAATCATGTTTTTTAGGTGTGGAAAGGGGAGTCTTCGGATGAGTAGATCATCTCTAATTATCACATTCTATATACATGTATTAAGAAACCCGTAACAGATCCAGTCTCTGAAATTCAACAAATTAAATTACAATGTGTACTTAACACAATGCAAAAAGCCACAAAGGTTGAATCTCACTGGTCATTCTTGATAAAATGCACAATATGAATGAGATTGACAATTATATATGCAGGGGGTGGGGTATTATTGGAGCTTTCAAGTTTTGTTGTCCGTATGTCATGAAAATCTCAAGAATATTTTAAGGCAATCTGGTACAAGTGTGCTTTTGGATACTCCTCAGATCTGATTAGGTTGTGTACCAAATATGTTAATTTCAGAAATTAGCTAATTTGCATATTTTTGGATCAAACTTAGTTGGGATATGAATGGCATACCAGTTTACATTTTAGGAAAATGTGGGAACGTCTTCTGCTCAACAGCAAAAAGACGCGCAATTCACATTGATTTACCGGGTAAGTAATTGTGAGTATCGGTCGTCGTTTCGACGACTCAAAAGTGTCACGATGCAGTGGCGAGAGATGTCAGCCTTTTAAAGATCACACATGAAATGACATCCAGCTGAAATGTATGCAACAAGTAACTAATAATACACAAAATCGCCGCACAATGTAAGAACTACTTTACGTGACCATAGTACATTTACCAATTACGCCCGCTACGATCGTCCGTATACAAAAATACATTTTACCCACATTTTATTATTTCCCACTTTTATTTTTCAAGTAAGTAGATCATTAAGACCTGGATTATGATGTTTTAAATGTTTAAACATTAACAAAATGTTATTCGATAATATTAATATTATCCTTTGATATTTAACCTCTGACCTCTGTAAAGTCAACCACACCGTCTTTACACAGATTTGTTCAACCATTTATGAAAATAACAATTATTTTTAGCTTCGCTGTCGACTTTGTCGAGCGGAGATTATCGACTTCTTCTTGAAAACTACAAGCCTGAATGCTTTGATACTTGGTGTATATGTACCTTGGGTAGACCTCTCTTAGATTTGTTCATTTCATGATAATATCTTAAATTTTCTAATTTTGGTGAATATTTTTGTAATTTTTGGTAAAAAGTGATATTTTCGACTTCTTGGTAAAAATCGTAATTCCGATTGCTTTGATATTACATATATATGCAAAACATGCGGACCTCTCTCAGATTTGTTCATTTCGTGCTGATATCTTTAATTCTTTAATTTTGGTGAATATTTTTAAAAAGTAAAAAGTGAAATTCTTGAATTCTTGTTGAAAATAACAAGTCCGATTGCTTTGATACTATACATATTGTTCATTTTCTAATGATATCTTCAGTTTTTTAATTGAAATGTGCATTGCTAACAGCGGAGCTATCTCAGCCGATAGGCTGCTTGTTATTATATTGTTATACTTCATTGCTTTCAATGCGCGTCACAGGTCATGAGCCACATATTAAAATAGGGCGATTCTGAACGAAAATGTTATTCTTAGATTACGAATAGTATATATTCTTTCTGCTTACATAACCTAACACATTACTCTGTTCGGGAACTTATCAGTATTTCATGGCGGAGAAGTCAGAAATAGATGACCAGTCATGTCAAAGTTATCGTTTTCAAACGTTCTCGCCCACGCGAGATCTTGCCAGAAACAGGAAATCCACTGCTTGATTACCCGAAAACATTTGTATACGCCGTAGTTAAAGGGTCACAAGTCCATTCTGATGTTCACACTGTAGAAATCGCATCATCTTCGTCGGCAAAGACCTGTTTATGTAGCCATTCTATCACCACATTCTCGGGAAGAGTATGTTTATTTCGAGTTCGGAAAACCACACGATTCGAACGAAGCCATCGCACACGACATAAGTTGTTGTTGAACTTTGAACTATTGCACGATCTTACGGTCAAAGAGTGCTATTGATTGCTTACGT